GTTCTCTCTTTCCTAACGACACCGCAAAGTCGTCCCTTGGGCAGTGAATTCAGTGGGGCTACTGAGATTCACTACTATCTACAATCGCGAAAGAGTTATTTTGGTGGCAACTATTCTGTATTGTGTTACGTTGCGTGCCCCTCTGTGTATTGCTCTTCGGCTGTCTTGTCTCATCTACTCGATACAATCGCAAGAATTTCCAATGATTAAATAAGATAGATGATAATATGTCCAATTACAGAAGGCTCTGAGTGGACAGGATATAGCCTAATAATCGATTCAAAAGGAAATTGTCCGCGATTTATCGGCCAAATTGCCTAATTGCAATTAACTTCCAACTAACTCCTTTAAAACTGACTATTCTGTCTCTCTGGAGAATCTCTGATGATAACTAACTATCTACTGGCCTCGTACTCCGAGAACCAATTACTTGACTAACTAGCAATAATTGTTCTCTCTAACTAACGGAGAACCACTATACTCTCTCTCAGTATCAATTGCTCTCTTCTCTGACTGAGAACCAACTACTCTCAATAGTAGTTCACACTGTTCTCTTCTCTGACTGAAAACCAACTACTCTTAATGGTAGCTAACACTGTTCTGACTCTTAAAGGCTCTCCGCTACCCTCCAATTCCTTTACACTTAGTTTTAGTTAAGTCACGCCATTCCCTATCAGTCCTGACATCCGCCCAAAACACCCGTCCGCACATGTTTTAAGACTATATCCCTCCTCCTGTCAACCGTGCCACGTGCCAACTTCGGTTTGTTTTATCAATCTTGTCACACTTATTAGATACCCGGCATGCGGTAGCTGTCAAAATTTGACCAAGCAAACAAATGTCATACGATTCTAATCAGCAAATTTCTGACCTCACTGACTTCAGCCCTCGAGTTCAATTCACCCTACAAACCATACTATGTTTACTCAGTGACCCTCCCAAGGTCTTTAAATTAATTTTCCCATTAACGTTCCGACCTCCCGGGGTAGGGGGAGAACCTTTTCGTGGATAGTGAATTCATTCCAGGCATCTAAAATTTTTACCTGTACTCTATTCCAATCCCAAATTTCCAGTAGTCAAAGGAACGTAGTTCGTCTATTAGGTGTCAAATCAAAACAGAAAGTCACCTCCGGGAAGCCGAGTAAATTCACCGTCCGTTCATACGATTTAGGAGACTTAATTCTCATGCTACGGTTATATTACTGTCAGTTTCATTTCCTCTGGGACTACTTTTCTTTAGTCTAGTTGAATTGCTATTAATAGATCATTCGCCAAGCTAAACTGGACCCATTTTTTACCAAGTCCACTTTGAACTAATTGTACTAACACAATGTTGCAATATAAAACTAAATCTCTATCAGCTTCTGCTCTAGTTCCCAACATATAAGTTTTCCTCCCAACGTTCAGCAAGGTGACCCATTCTCATTTACAGAGGTTAGGCTGGGGAATACGCCACTTTCCGGTGTTAATCTCGGAGTTTTCCATGCAATTTTGGGGTCAAAATGCCCAAAGGTCAACTTAAGGTCACCCAGGGATCAACCGGGGTCAAACTTTCATTTTTGGGTTCAGAATCCCATGGGGGTTTTAACTACCAAGTTTCAACCATATCCCATTAATACTTCACAAGTTTTCCCATTTCTCAGGTCCATTATCACTTTTTCCGGGAAAAGGCTATTAACACCGGAAGGAGTCGCCGGAGGCGTTTTAATCATAAGAAGTCTTTTTTCGTGATTTAGTTGTAGTATCTAATGCCGCCATAAAATCAATATGCCCTCGCTCATTCTTTCGCGTAAATTGCCTATTTCCGGTCTAAGGGGGTGTTTTTCCAAGTGCTAATAGCTTGCGGTCCAACCACCGCATTTTATTCAACTTATAATACAAGATGTATCTTGCCACTACCTATCATCCCTCCAAGTTTCAGCTCCCTGCGTTCATCGGTGGCCGAGAAACGACTTCCGGAAGTTAGGAGTGGGTTTGTTCACTTAGGGCATGAAATCGGAAGTGGGGGTTCTTAGGGGTCTGGGGTTCCAAACTTAAACTTCCCTCAACTAGGCCCACAACATACTAGAATTTGAGTCTATTCCAACCGCTAGTTACCGAGTTCTGATAGGGCCATTTACACTTCCGGGAACCGTTATCACTTGCCCCCAAGGTTCTGTGGGGTCCCGATTTTTGTATGCGCGGGTCAAATCATCTCTAGTATCCGTCCTCTGAATTTCATAACCTTAGCTTCCTTAGTTCCGATTTTTTTTTTGGGGGGGGGGGGGGGGGGGTTCGCCGATTTTGTCAAATTTTGTTTTCTGGCATAGGAGGGACTATATCTTCGAGGTTTGAACGATTTCGAAAATTACCCTTTGTGTGCTGTACTACTTATTTTAATGACAAATCAATCTTACGCTCAGGTTGCTATAGCATGTAATACAGTAGAATCACCAATTCTACAGTCCCATTGCTACAAAGTAGGCATGGTACAGTGCTGTTTTAAATTATCAGGACAAAACGAACAATTCTTGAATTTTCAAACGCGTTTTTCCCAAATTTGGTTACGATTAGAAAAAAAATAAGGAGAACAAAAGTTGCTTCGAATTTCTTCTGAATCAATATGGTGCTATTTTAAAACCTAAACTCTCAACCAAAATTTTATCTCAAAAATTGGTCATCTTGACTTTTTTCAAACATCAAAAAATACGCTGAAACTACTTTGTTAAAATATGAGAAAACTCTATCACAAGAAGCCTCATGCCTATCACAACAAGCGTTTAGAAAAGTTAAATTTCCCACAAATTGTGTAAGAGAAAATATTTTTGCTTGTCTGTCAAGAAATGTAATTTTTACCACATAAAATCCAAAATCTTAGCATGAAAACAAATTTTAAATAAGTTGCGCAAATTTTTGAAGATTCAACCCTTTTAAAACTTTTTTAGGATGTGTAAGAGGCTTTCTCATCTATTAACAAGGTAGTTTCGGCTTTACTCTTGATTAATTGAAAAAAGCTAAAATGACGCATTTTCGGGGTAAAATTTTAGTTGAGAATTTTTATGAAAATAGTGCACCACAATATTTTTGGTGAAATTCTAAGCAGCTTTTGTTATCTATATTTTCTGTCTAACTTTAACCAAGTTTGGGAAACACGCGTTTGAAAATTCAAAATTTGTTCGTTTTGTCCAGTTAATATAAATCAGAATTGTACTAGAAAAAATTCCGACAAGACTAGGCCAAACTGTGCACTAGATTGGCGCACAATTTGGTGTTTGTAGGACTCTGGGTTCCTCGTTTAATGTCTTCAAACATGTTGAAATTTTGTTGGACCGATCTTTAAAAAAGAACAGGAGAAGACCAAAGAGAGCAAAACTCAAATTTTGCAGTTTGGCCATTTATGATAGGCAGAAATGTATGAAAAACTAGTTACTCGAGTTGACTTCAATAGACCAAAAAAGCTTATCATACAATTCCATAAGCTAAGTCTAGGAAAAATTACTGACGAAACAATTTCAAACAGTTTTGCCGAAATAGTGTCATTGAATTTTCAATGAAATTTTTAGTTGTTTTTGCATAAAACTCGGTGTATCGTATTGAATGAAAAAGAATAATTTTTGCCAAAAAAATGCTTATCTTACATTTTCCATATATGGAAATTGTATGATCAGCAGTTTTTCGATGGCGAAAACAAAAGTTTTTTCAAGCAATTTTTGTTTTCGCCATCGACTACGTTAAGAAACAAAAATTTCTTCTAGTAGTTTTTTTTGTGTTTTTTCAACGGCGAATCGATATTTTTACTCGAACTAACATTTTCCAAAAACTATTTTTGCATGCAAAATTAAATTTTTTGTGTGCATAACGTAGTCCTGCATTCACCAATTTTAGATTTTTTCCTTTTTTGACTAACGCTTTGTGTATGACATGTTTATGTATGCCTTGACAAATGTCTGATATTTCAAAAATTTAAATTTTAAAAATAATCAACGTTGAAAATTTATGCCAAAGCTTAAAAGTTTATTACTTTCCTTATACCATTTGTAAAAGACAGCTCAAAGACAAGTCAAGTCGTTTTCTAAGCATTCTTAATACAGGATCGTTCAAATTTTGGTGCTTTGAGCAATCCAAAGTTTTTGTCACTAGCGTTTGGTTGCGAAAACAAACCAAAAGTTTTCAAAAACTAAATTAAGAAAAAAATCAAACTTTTTGATTTATGGAAAAATGCTCATCATAGAGATTTTATACATTTTTCTGTACGTTAGGAACTATGGAATTGTATGGTCAGAAGTTTTTCTTATTTGACAATTTTATGATGAAAAACTTTGGCAACCCGTTCAACTTTGTTTGTTGCCAGGCTTAGTTTTAGTTGGGTTCTCCGAGAATTCGGCTTCCTAGTACATTACGAAGCCAAACTATGATTTTTGTGAGTTGTATGCGGATTCCGCATTTGGCAAAAACCAGATTTTTCTTGTAACCCGCAGCAATGTTACTTTTCTTTGATCTTCTTTGCTGTTTTGGATTCCACGGATAAATAGCTAAAACACTGTATTTCTGTAAAAATTTGTAAAAATTTGTAAAATCCATGAACAAATAATGATATATGTGTTTATTAAATTTAGGTTGTCGTGGAACCCGCAGCTGTAACTGGAATCCGCAAATTGTAAGCGGATTCCGCAAATTGTAACCAGAATCCGCAATCTGTAAGCGGAATCAGCATCAAATCGCGGAATCCATTTACATTTGCGGAATCTGCTTACATTTTCGGATTCTGTAACAACTACCTATATTCGCTCGTTGCGGAATCCGCAGCAAAACTAATATGCCGACAAAATTTACGTTACAGGTATTTGTACGCGGAATCCACGGAAATTTTGTAGGAATTGTATACATTTTGGAACATGTTTAAAGACTTGTTTCTGGAATCCAGGAACATACAGACACAAAAATTGTGCGCCCATCCAGTACACAGATCGGCCTCGTAATGTACTCTGCAGATTTCGGTTATTTTTTGTTTAATTTTTCAGATAGCGGAGGAGTACAAAGACTGGATCCGTGCCAACCTCAGTCCCCTCCTAGCTCACACTTTGTGGGGGAGTGAGGAGAACTACAAGGGGGTCACTAGGGGGTGGTGTGGGGAACATGGGAGCAATTTCTGGAACAGGGCTTCAGACAGATCCAGAGTGCGTGAACATAGATACTTTATCACAACTGGTGCCAGGGGCGGAATTAGGGGGGCGGGGGTTTCGTTTGCTTCTTTTTTCAGGGATTCGACCCCCTGATGACCCAAATGGTCCCCCTTTATACTAATTGACGGACCCTAAAAATTTTGGCTGACGGACCCGGAGTTTTTTAAAAAACGTTACCAAAATCGCATAAAGAGGATATTCTGGTGAAATGCGTTGGTTTGAACTATTAGTCAGGTTAATATGCAGTAGATTCAGATATTAGAAGTAATTTTATTCTCTCTCTCTCTCATTTTCTCATTCAATCATGTAAACTGGTCTGAAAACCGGAGAAAAATTGGTCTTTTTTTGTTCGAAACCTTTTGTTTGTTTCAGGCCAAGATTCTGTCTTCTCTTGCCGTCGATTCGTCGGAAGAAACTGAAGAACGGGTGAGTGGAACCAAAGCTGTGTATTATCTTTTTCATATATCTTTCTATAAAATTGTCTTGAGATTTTTTCGGGAAACAGATCGATAATTATGTTTATGAAGTGCAATTTTATCTTTTGAATTAAAAACTTCTTCAAAAACAAGAAAAGACGATAAAAAAACTGAAAATGGTGTCAATGGTAGTTTTGTTACATGAGCTGGCTACTGTTTTTTTTGAAATTTTATAACTTTTTTTTTCAGTCTTTAGTAATTGGCAGTTTGAAGGTTTTTAGCTTCAAATAGAGGAATGTTTTTGATTGCGTCAATGTAGGCTTACCGTATGACTTATTCGACTAAACTTGATGATTAAAAAATGCTCCTTGTTTTTTCTTCAACAAAGTTGATGCATTTTTTTCACCTTGGCTAGCAAACCTTTTCTCGACTTTATTTTAATAATTTAACTTAGTCAGATTATTCTGAGCGAATCGCAGAGCAACCGGCTATCCTTGTTTTCTTTTTTCCAGCTTCGTAAGCAAGCTTCGCTGTGTCTGCAACTAATCGAGAGCTTCTACTTTGACCGCAGTTACTTCTTCGGAGACGACACCCCCTCGAGTGTAGATGCAGAATTGTTCGGATACCTGTCTCCTATTCTCTTCTGCTCCGAATCTCTGCCCGACACGACTTTCAGAGACATGCTCGTTCAGCATAGTGGATTGGTGTCGTTGTTGACACATATCAAAGAGAGGTCGGTAATTAAAATAAATTAACTAATTATATTAAACTGTTAGAACCAAGTTACACCTCGAGAATTCTGGATTCTGATTGGTTGAAAGTTCCAAGATATGAGCCGCGAAAACCGGTTCACCCTATAACCATAACGCTTTAGATCTTATTTGAATCAAACTTTTTAGTCAGACTTATAAAAACTTCAATCAAACAAAAGAATCCTGAACGAAACTTCGTAAAGAGATTTTATAGAACTTTCACTTTTTCCAATTTTTTCAAAGAAAAAGTTGTTGCTTCAGAATTGACTTGATGGATGAAAGCAGCTGAGATGATGTGTCACTTTCAAACCTCTGGGTTGAAAAATTTACAAATGATAATTCACAAAACCTGATAAAAAGTGTGCGCTAGAAAGATGGACCTTATTTTACTTGACGGTGCTTACAAATTAGAAATATAAATTAGCTAGTTTGTATTAACTAAAATTCCTTTAAAATTAAATTTGAAAGAGATAATTATCTGTTTCTCGAGATGTTCATCTAAAAACACTACACATGTTCTAACGTCTCCGCCAGCAAGAATATCCAACTTTACACTCACGGCAAGCGTTTTACACCCTCCAGATCTAAGCGTGAGAACGAGCTTGTCAAACTCATCAGTGCATACTCAAATGGATCACGGCACTGAAAAAACACGAAAAATTCAAAATCTAATATTAAGTCGTTGCGTTTGTGATGATAAGAAAAAAAATATTATGAGCAGTTTCAGATAACGGCGCGGACGCAATACAATACGTGCGCGTTTGAAACAGCGGGCGCACATTAACGGGCGGCTTAATGGTGTGGCAGTTTTAAAATTGGAGGGCACAATCTTAAATAGATAGCCGTGTCGCAGCTTTCATCTGAAAACAAAATTTATGATCTTTCCTACAATTTGACTTTTACCGCCAAATCTGTACAAAATTGATGCGCTGAAAAATGCAATACTGGATTCAGCATTCAAATATCTTTTACCAGTGAGAACAAAAAAGCTTCCAAATTTAAGTAAAAAAAAACGGGTTTCAGAAAATTAAATTTCAAACTGATTTTGATTTGCATTTTATTTTTTCAAACAGATTGCATTTGATAAAAAAAATAATTCTTTCTGATGCCTAGCTTCATTGAGATTATTTTTATACAACCTTTTTTATTAACAGCAAATTTTTCTATGCTTATCCGACCGATTTGTGAATTCTCGCTTCATTGCTGAAACCGCTTTGTTCGTTATTACTTCTATTAGAATAATCGATAACATAATTTTCAATTGAATTTCTCAATACGCCTATGAATACCTTACATACGCCACATCAACTAATTAGCCCGAGATTCGCAAAAATCAGTGGTGTTATAGGGACTATTTCTGCTAATGATTCAAGCACATTTCTCTGATGCGATTTTGAAAAATATAAATAAAATGATTTCAAAAAACAAAACTCTTGTTGTTACCTGAAATAAATGAGCAACCAAAACAAAGCTCTTCAGAAAAAAAATTCAATTTTTCACACGACCTATACAATTTTGTAGTTTAGTTTAAAAAATTTCCAATCTTCTAATTCTAATTGTTATCGTTTAATATTTTTATTTTGAACGCACTTCTTTTTTAGGCGTGTTGATCTTCTGCACTTCTGAATATGCCCCTTGTTGCAAATACATCTAAGAGTCATGCCATAAAGAAAAGAAACAAAAAATGAAAACGCTAGTTTTTTGTTGTGTTGTTCATCAGCCAAATTAAATAGGGAGACCGAAAAACAAGGACGGGTGAACGGAGTATGTAGAGCAAGATTAAATGAAACTGAAAAACTCAAGCTTCAGGGAAAGGGCAGACCAAAACTAGTCGAGACTAGCAGTGATGTGGAATTTTTGTAACCCAAATCAATTGCCATAAAGACTTTCGTGCGATCTAAAACAGTGCGAATTTGATTAGAAAAGCTCAAAATTAGACAACATATGCATGAGGTATTGTGTATTTTGTCGTTATTATTACCAAGAGTGTGAATCATAGTAGAATAAGTTGTGTTACAAATTTTTACAAGCCAATGTGATGGATGCTTGAGCGAGTCTAAGTTAAAACTTTTTTCTAGAAATTTCAGAGAGCCTAAAGTTGGAATCAGATTTGGACGTCACAAGACTTTAAACCAGATTTAGTGGAAAAATTTGAAATTAATTAATTTTTTCGATTCATCGGTTTGCGTTCAACAAGCAGATACGCATGTTCTTTGGTTGAACATTGTTATTTGGGGTTAAATAGCAAAAAAAAAACTTTTTTAGGAACAGGTAAATTTTTCTGGAGAAAGAGTTCTCAAATTCACAAAAAAACTTGAGCAATCATGAGACAAGAGTCTCAAAAAATTGTCTGTATGTCTAGGAAAAAGAAAGAATTGTTTTTTTTTTAATTTGATTAATTCAGTGTGGTTAAATTCTTCTGTTACTAAGTAATTTTTATCATCAACTCTTCCATAACTGCAAATGTTGGTGAAAAAAGGACTTGCCAATGTTGGATCTTTCCTCAAAATGGTCAACTCAACTGGTGTGCGGGTTATAGATATTTTTTCAAGGATAATTTTGACATTGATAATGTGAACTTATACTGGAAATAATTTATTATGATTATTATTATTAAAAAAAAAACTACTATCTTTACCACCAGAAAATGATTGAGAGATGTAACAATCAAGTTTTCAAAAAGTTGAAGATACAAAAATTTGGAGAAAAAGGCAAAACAGCATGACCCCAGCCAGGGGGCGGATCTAGAATTTTCTCGGCCAGTGGGGGGCATTTTCAAAAAAATTTCAAAAATTTTGTCGACTTTTTATTTAGATCGACCAAATAGCTTTTCTGAGCTCTCCCAAATCACTATGAAGACCCGATTTTGACCATTGTTTGGTTGCCGCAGGCAAATTTTTGAAAAAAAGGCCAAAAAAGGCGTTTTTAGGCACTTTTTGGAAAATTTTGAACAAAAATTTGCGTTTTTTCGGCGCGCGCTTCCCCCCAAAATTAGTATAATTTGGCGCCGAAAGATCCCATAGAAAAGTTTTAGGTTCTGTCAGCCAAAAAGAGAAATCTCAAAATGGTACAAAGGGGAGACCCTTCTGGTCGGCATGGGGTTGAATCCCTGAGAAGGACTCGTTGTGAGGTTGGACTAATGCAGTAGGATGGGTGGACCAACTAAAAATACCTTTTCATCAAATGGAAAATTGTTTGTCCAGATATTAAAAAACTGCCTAAAAATTTTCAGCTATTGATGTGGCAGAGACGGTAGTTAAATATTAGATGTCGAAAAATAAGTGTGAATGCGAAAAAAGGATTGTATAAAATTTAGCTTCAAAAATATTATCTTTGAGAGGTGGCCACAAAACACGTTAACAAAGGTGAAATGAATGGGGCCTCACTACCCCCACAGGACTCCTCGCCAACCAGAACCTCTTGGTACCCAGAGTGCATCAGACAGCAGCTCTCTTCTATAAGACAAGCTCGTCCGTCCTCTATAAGACACATAAATTCTAGTTAGTTTTCTGGTTGAAAAAAGTCTACTGTTTTGTTTATTGCAGTTTACTACCTACTTAAAAGGTGATTGTCTCTAATTCTATACCTGTCTAATACATTGTTGTGAAATACTTCTGTCTTAAAAATTGATCGTTTCTAAAAGATTTCCTGTCTCAGATATTGCTGCAAATCATTCCAGTCAAAAGTTGCATAATTGAAACTTTATTCAGATTGGTTTGTTTGAATCTAAAATTCAGTTTTACATAGCAAATTTTTACCATTCATTTTTATAAAAAATTTTTGGAGAACTAAATTTTGAAGCAAATAAACACTTTGACAACGCTTTCAGTATTAGAAAACAGCAAGCACAACGAAAATGTTCCTCGAGATTGTTAATTGACTGAAATTGAAAAAGAAAAATTATTAAATAGTTTTTTTTTCTCTAAATCTTTTTTTGCTGGTTTTTTCTCAATTTTCAGCTGACGTCGAAATTTGAGTTTTTTTCTCTAAATCGTTTTTTGCTGATTTTTTTCTCAATATCCATCTGACATCGAGATTTGTCTCCCTAGTACAAATATAAAACGCGCTATACGTTTGCTCAAGATAAACCTACTTCGATCATTAAGCTTCAAGATATTTACATTTGATGAACAATGACAGACAAATGAAAATGAAGGCGGCTTTTTTCCAAGATTTTTTTAAAAATAATTTTTATCTTACAATAAACAAAAACACGTTTCCCTGCTACATAAACAAAACACGCTATAAATTTGCTGAAGGAAGCCCACCGATGTATAAAACACAAATATTTCAATATATGGCGTCCGCCGATTCACATGCTGTCATGTGTTTGTAACTCCGTTGCGCAATTCTTAAGATAGCCCGCTGATTCCACACTGCAGCGCAACAAGCATGGAACAGAACTGACAGCCGAATACAAGCTCAAATTGTGCCTTAATTATCCCGCACAAGACCATGTAGTGACCAGAAAAATTTAATTCCTAAACTTCAATAGAGAAATTGTCACTCGTCACAAATCTACTTGTTCACACCAAACCGAGCATCGGGCCAAAAAAATGCCCTTCCCGCAGAGACGAACTAGAACAAGATGTCTGGCGTGGATAACGACCCGGAGTGAATGGGCTGACCAAGAAGGTAACGGCTAGGGTCCAAATCGAGCCTGGACCCTAACAGTTAAGATTAAAAGGGTCACAAAAAACGACAGCGGTGCCCGAGATAGGAGCCGTGATGACAGATAGCATCACCAAGGAAGAGAAGTTGGAAAGGAAGGCCGAAAAACAACAAAAGAAAAAGGAGTATATAGTACAAGATTGAAGAAAACTCAAGAACTCATGGCCCAGGCATAGAGCAGACCTCTGGGACTAAAACAAATTTTAACTTGAATTCATAGCCCTACTTTTTCAATGTTCATTTAATAGTTGCTATCAGACAAGGGCTGTCATATATGTGCAATTTATTTTAGTTTTGAGTTCTTTTTATGTAGTTAAGCTTCGTGCCTTCAATGATGTCTAATTTCAATCTGTCAGTTTTTTTGTCTTGTGTTCTTGGCTCGAAAATAGATTGAATGTGCGTATAGTGATTGAATGAAGGACTACTGCTTTTAATTTAAGGTGACCATTCTGATTTTTCAACACTGCTAACGCTTCATACAACTGATGATCAGAAAGTTGCCAAATATGCTTCGAGAGTACTAAGCATGAACGGTAGATGGTGCGTCTAGACATTTTGGTCGAATACCGACCAGAATAGTCTAGCGGTTTCTTTATGCCTTGTTCAAGCAACGACTAATATTTTTGGATTTTTGTTTGTCTCTTTTTAGCACTATTATGTGTCACGCGGTGTCAACATTTAGGCGATATTTTTTCGTAGTATCAAACTTGACTATCTCTGAATTAAACTTTTTCCACATAAAGATT